AGGGCGCGGCAGGGGGGGGGGGGGGGGGGCGTACTCATGTTTTGCATACCTTAGCGGTTCGACCATTGACCACGCGTCCTCGAGAGGTGGTCGGGGGGGGGTATAGAAAGAGCAACTTGGAGCAGCGGGCGGGGTGGATACGGCCGAGAGCGCCCTGGTTGAGCGGGCGAGGGCAAGAGGGGGCTTTGGAAGATGCACATTGATGCATAGCCTCCGCCGCCGCTTAACGGGCTTTGTTTGTTGTGTGCCTCGCGCGGCCCAGTGTTACGGAGGGTTTGTGGCTCTCTCATATTCGTAGTACTGGGACCAAAACACTGTAAATATTCGTTTTGTTTATCACCACGTAGTTTTCGCGTGGTCCACGTACATCTTGTGTTTCTCGTGTGGAGCGCCTGGTGTATGATGTTTCGTGATTGGCGCCCAGGTGGATGCCAACGACAACACAACTAGCTTGACTCCGTGGGGAAAGGGAGCCGTTTTGCTAGTTTTCCGACAGTCGAGCAGGATGCGTCGGGTGGAGTCAATGGTTCGGAAGGGTGTCGCAAATAACGCATGTTGTCTACTATTTTCACCTCTCATACGTTCAACAACCCCCGATCCAGCATGGTCAAATCACTGCTCCCTGTGGACCTTCGGGGCAATGCTCGCATGCGTCTTCCCGTCTCGATAATATGGTTAAATGTCCTTTGCGTATTTTCACGTGAAAACAGAAACCAGCGCTGGCTTCGTTCGCTTTGGGGCGACGTCAGTTTCTTTTGCGACTAGAGGGCGCCCCGGGGTACGCAGTTTCCTCGTCAATAATCCAGGAAACGCTTGCATATCAGTTTTCCGAAGTCTAACTCTCCTTCGCAAATCAAGCCGTCCGCTGACCCTCCTTCGTGTACAGTGTTCGTATCTGAGATTGTAGCCCTTGTAATACACGAAGATTACAGTAGCGATCCGCAATATTCCAAACGATCCTTCTATCATCGAGATCGGTGATCTGCCAGCAGGATTTTTGAAGCTGCTGTGCGGTATGATTTTGAAACGCTTCAAGCACCTTTGCTTGTGGAATTCGTCATGGTGTCACGCTATACTTTTCTTCTGTAGTGCGCAGCAGTCACTGCTTTGGTCCACGCCAAGAGACCGAAAGACGGGACAACGCACAGCGGCTGCAGCAGCCTTCCTCAGTCAAATGCCCCTAAACAAGAAACCAGATTCTCGGCAAGGTTAGGAGAACCGAAAGCTGTTCACCGGTCGTATTTATTGAAATGGATCACAACCATCGGCAATGTGTTCGGTGTGTTGGCTGTGTGATACCGGCCCTTGGGGAGTTGGCGGGAGCGGTCTGTGAGCCAAGCTCGGTGGACCGGACTGGAAAGTTGCATCGTTTTCACGCCCCATACAGTGTACGGTGCTCAGCAAAACACGAATGACGATTCGAAACTCACCATTCCCATTCCAAGAAAAAAACGGGAAACAACAAAAACGTCGACAAGGTAGTTAGTTTGCCGTCCCTGTTCGGTGTTAACAGCAGTCGCCAACCAATATTTGCTGGTTGTGCCATTGAACACTTTACCACGGTGGTGCTGCGCCGAAGTGGCCGCTGAGTTTCCGCACCCCGGCGACAACCTTCCTCTTTGCGCCCCTCTGCATTAAACACCCCATCCCGTGCAACTCCACTCAAATCCCAAAGCCAAGCAATTCCTAAGCTTCCTCTTCCAAGCAAGCCAGAAGACAGACCGTCAAGACACGCCAGCGGTCCGCGTCCTTACTATCGAAAAAAGACTGGGTGCGCATCGCCGCTTGGGGCGTTCGCACGACCGTTTTCACTGCACTTGGAGTGTCGTGTACGAAGAATACTGTTCAATTAGCTGGCGAGCACGACACCGATGGCCGCCGCCATAGCCTTGGTGGTCTCTACGGCCACCTGCGCCTCGGCCGCCTCGCGAGACCCCTCGGTTGCCGCGTCCATTTCGCGTTTCGCGGCATCGTACGAAGACTTCACCTGGATCGCACAACGTTCATGCACAGGGGTAGATAACAACAATTTACAAATGCCCACGACGCTAAAAAAAGAAAAAATCAACATTGAAATATAGACGTACACGTATGAGCCACTCCACAGTGCAGGACTACGAAAATTCGTGAATGTATTTGATCTAGGGAGGGGATCGGTCAATAGAGGCGGGTAAACGCTTGGGCATGTGCCGCTACGAGGCTTGAAACCAAAGGCTGCCAACGTCTTCAAAACGTCCGAATCGGTCTACGGAGATTCACCGTGATCCACGCAAAGGTTATGAAGTGAAACGATCCGCGACAACACCGGGAGCCGCGCTCACCATCACATTCGCACGTTAGTCCGGCACTCTCTACACTGAGCACCTTTGCAGGTGGCTGGAGCAAATGATTGTCGTGAGAACCCGAGAACTAATTCGCGCGAGAGCACTGAAATGCAAGACGAGGAGCTAAAACTTAAACGAAGTGTTGGACAAATCAGAACGCTCTTTGAAGAAAATAATACGAAATCAGCGGGAGACTTGCATACACGATAAAAAACTCAAGGGAGGATGGTGAGGAAGAAAGACGGAGAGTGCTGCGAAAGGGGTCAAAACATAAAAAACGTTCTATCTGCATGATGACAGAAGAAAAACAAAAACCACCACATCACGATAGCAACTCACCGCCCCCTCATCGATTTCTTCTACCCTGACTGCCTCGATAGCAGTGATGTCCGTGACGGAGGTGGGGTGGGTCAGAGCAAACCCAGCGGACACGAAAAAGTTCTCCGGCTCCTGCCCCTGTGCCGTCGAATCGATGGGTCGCCGGGCAACGCGAGTCGAGAGAAGAACACCACGTCAAACAAAGAGGGGCATCGGGGGTTAAAAAAAGGAAGGACCGACGACGAACAAATGCTTCCCCGCGGAAAACAAGGGCTCGATGGTTCGAAAAGATCCATTTTGAGGTGCCAGGGCAATCCAGGGTAGAGAAAGCTGATCCATGCCAAGGCGCGGATAAACGAATTCGACACAGTCTGTCGCGTTCACTCGAGAGAGAGATCGACACGGAATAAGGCTCTGAACAAGGCAAGATGTGTACTCCCGGACAGCGCCAACCTCGGCCCACGATCTCGTGCAAGGGTAGCAACGGGCGTCGCCACTACCGTCTCGGCGTGCCGGACTCATTAGACACACAGCACTCCCTCGACCACGGCACGGTCTCTTTAAATCGGAGACGGGATCTCGCGGCGGGGAACGTCATAGGCCGCAGGCGAATGGTCCACGAGGAATCAATTCGATCGACAGCGAGCACAAAAAAAACGCACGCGAATACGGCCGGCACTCACCGCCTCGTGCACAACCTGAACCACGCCGGGCTTCAACTCCGCGACGATGGGAGAGTGGCCGGCGGTAACACCGTACTCGCCCGCGCTTCCCGGGATGATCACCTGGCCGCCGAAGGAGCGATTGGGGTAGGTATAACAAGATATGGTTGACCATTTCGGGTTGCACGAGAGTCAATCGTTCGCCCCGGAATCAGCTGGAGCAAGCATGGGTGAGAGCGGCGAGATGATGCGAACCAGGAAGCATCTGTGTCGCCTGCAAAACGAAGGTCGCAAAGTCACCATCCGTACAGTCGGGCCCAGCAGGTGGGGGAATGATGTACTAGCCGTTGTTGTGCAGGGCGTCTGGTTTCACCCGAGGGCGAACACTGGACTTTAAAAGCGGCTTTCTCGCCCGAGATTGGTGCGTGCTTTCCGGCTCGGCAAGCGAACGGGGGAGACGCAGTGTGCTGCAGTTCTGCATGGGCAACACCCACGCTGTCTCTCGTGGGACTTGGATGTTGCATGTCTATAGGCAGCACTGACGGTACTACTGCTTGTTTTGCTGTCGTTCGGGATAATCCCGGCAGTTATACCGATACTTCCATCGTGCAAATCTAGCCGTCGAGTCTGTTCATTTTGGGAACCGTTGAGAGTTGTCCCGGCACGAGCAGCAATCCGTCTCCCCCTAAAAACGCCTCCTTGATGACTGCTGTAAATAGTTCAAGCCTACATGCCCCATGCCCCCAGCTAGAGAACAATTAGGCACCACCAGCAGTATAGCGTCCGTTGGGACGAGTGCGGCATGCGTGACGACTGTGCGGTGCACTCACCTGGTCGACATCCTTGTCCTTGTAGATGGTCTCGTGCGGCAGGCAAAAGTTGAGCTTCATCACTGCGGGCGCCTCGGCTGTGGAAAAACACCTGGTTGTGGATGGGGATGATGAAACACAGGCATCGCACAAAGAGGGACCGGGATCACCGACGCGCTACAAGGCACAATGCTTGTTGCGATCTTCTAGTATCGGCAGCGAAGACGTTCGGAGTATGCGAATAAAAAAAGGAGCTACATGCATGGTGTTGCACAATGTGCCAATCAGCGAGAGGGGTTTGGTCCCGATACACCTGCACGGAGGTGGACGATAAGGACACAAGCGAGCTCTCTATGTAGTAGTTGCATTAGATTCGTACAGCAGTTACGGCGTACAGCAGTAGTACGTCTGCTGTGCATCGCCATGTCGTGTACGATGGAAGGTCCAGTGCATGTCGACAGAGGTGCGCCGTAACGCCGAATCAAAGAAAGGCGCCCAACGCGAATGCACTTAGCACTGAGCAGAAACAGCCTCTTGGCAGCTATTTCTGTTGCAGACTCCATATACGCCGCACACGCCAGCAAAGCCAGCAGAACACCACCTCTCTGGCGAGCGAGCACACCAAGTTTCACATGCTTGGAACGGTGTCGAGCAAACGCGTCGACTCTGCAAAGCATCCCAACTCATTGACACCACCAACCTATCTCGCTCATTCCTGCTTATCCAAAGTGAGGCAGCATACGCTGTGCGCTGTGCGGGAACACACACAACCCTTTCCAACTGTCCGAGGAGGGAGGGGGGGGCGGCAACTCTCTATATACCTACCTCGCTGTTCGGAGCGCCGGCCTAGCCGCTCCCGCCACGCGCCTGGCAGCAACTCCCAGCATCTTTCCTCAGCGTCTTTTGTGTGCAGCACGAAGTCTGTAGCGCGGGCCCTCTGTCTCTCGCCACACCGCTACGTGTCTCTGCTGCGGCTGCTGCTGCTGCTGCTGCTGCTGCTGGTGTCCGACACAACCGGACCTTCCAAACGCCGAGAACGATCATCGCCAAAGGAGGCGTTTTTATTTTGCGCGCGGCGGGGTCGGCCACCGAGTAGAGAACTCTCCCCTCTCTTCCGCTGGTGCAGTTAGCTAGATCTCTCGTTGGGAAGGAACAAGCGACATGGCTCTTCGATTGGCAACCGTGGCCAAGAGGGCCCTGGCGGCACCAGTGGCCGGTGAGTGCGACGGGAATAATGCGTCCTTTTGTCTGTGTGCCTTGCGCTTGCTGCTGTCCTCTCTTTGGCTTCCGTTTGTTTTCGCGAGGCAAATCTCTGCGTCGTCCATGTTGCGTGGTTCTCGGCGAGGGTTGTTAGGAACCTTCGATTGTGCACAACGACCGAGATAGCGGCGGGGTGGAGCCCGCCACCTGCGCAATTTCGGGTGTGCCCGAGCCAACTCGAGAGGTTGCGAGGGCAGCAACCTTCCGCTTTTGGCTCGCGCGCCCGCGCCCTCGCGTTGAGATGCCAAATCTCCTCTGGTCGCCGGGTACAGCCTGCCCGCCGCAGAGAGGAGAAGGTCGGACCGAAAACCATCATCACGAAACAGACAGACCCGCCTGGCCTTTGCCGGAACGCTGCAATGCGCGGAATGCCCACACACCACTACGGCGTTAGACTGGAGCTACTGACTCATCCGCGCGCTAGATTGGCGATTGCACTTGGTGCATTCCCGTTGCTTTGCCCACGTGTTGCAACCCCTTGCTCTCCGCAAAACAGCACGGAATGTTTGGAGGCCCAAAAATTTGCCAGGCACACAACATATGCACACAACCCGCGCGCGCGGGTGCCTTTTTTTGCGGCTCTCTCTCCCCGAAGACCAGCTGCTGAGAGCGCGTGTGTGTTGGAGCTGCTGCCGACCGTTGGCATGTGGCGCCACGCTCTACTGCACGTTCGGACGTTCGGCCATTGCTCTCCGCGATCTGCCTCTGTTTGACAGCACGTGTTTTTGCTGAGTATACACCCTCCTCAAGCGTCCGTGGTGGTATTTAGTGTTTTTTTTGCACTTGTACGAAGATGGCAACCACCGTCTCTTTGGTGAATGTTCTTCCCTGGGGCTCAAATGTATTGATGATTGTGTACAACCGCAAAGCTGCTGCGTGCTGTATTCCCGTATTGACACATGGCGTATGATACGGTTCTGCTATGCATCTCGGGGCCGCCGGATCGTGGCCATCGTTGGTTTCGCTTACAGCTCCGTGCGCCGCAGGCCATCGGCAAGAGTTGCACCACACAGGGCACCGCTTCTTGTTCTTCACTGATGAGAGAAACAGGACCGCCGGTCAACGTTTTTTCGTATTCGTCCACACACCATTTTGTCATTTTGGCCTGTGTGCAAATGCGGCATATGCCTCTCTCGCTGTTGCTGCTAGATACTGCCGTTGCTCGTTGCTGCTACGCCGCAGCTCTCTCTCTCTCTCTCTCTCTCTCTCTCTCTCTCTCTCTCTTTGTTCCCCCAACTATTTTACCGAGCATAAGATCGATGTGCCAACCCAGTTGCGTGTGTTAACCTCTTTGTGCGCGGCGCGTGCTCTGCTCTTCTTGCAGCTGGACGGTCTAGCTTCCACGCCTCTGCCCTGGCCCAGGCAGGCTCCGTCGGGCGCGTGACCCAGGTCATCGGTGCCGTTGTGGACGTGCAGTTCGACAAGGACCTGCCTCCCATCTTCAACGCCCTGGAGGTGCACTAATCAATTTAGTCTTGTGCCTGTTGTTGTCATCATCGTATACAGTATTGTACCGCGGTTGTAAACAACAACCTGTGCGGTGGTCGTGGTTGGGTTTTTGGTTTTTGTTATCGACGCGAGTGTTGGTGTTGTGGTTGGTCGGCGCTTTCCGCGGATCGCACCAGAAGGTGCCATGTATATGTTCGTAGGAACCCCATCCTCCTCTCCCTTGTCTATTCCGGACCGTGTGATTTTTACAGGCCCAACGTTCAAAAGTAAGCAGTGCACTTTAGTTTGCATTGATTTCGCCTGTACTACGTGATGTAGAACTACCGTCTAGTGACTTGGGGGCAGGCAGAAGAATAGTAAAACCAGCGTTGCTCCACCGCCGTGACTTCGAGTCTGCACCCACGGGCGAGACGAAGCGTAGATGCCAGGGGAGCCACCTGCTTTTGCCATTCTCTACGCAACAAGTCAAGACCAATCATGAGTTGAAACCGATGGTGTTTGACGTACAAGGAGGAGTCCAGGCTGCTTTCCTGCCGCTCAATGTTTTGCCCCTAAGGTCCACTTATTCACAGCAGGCCATCGAAACGCCCCCCAATCCCGTCGGTTTCATGCGGCCATGGCTTTTGTGCGCTTGACGACAAAAAATACATGAAGCAAATCTCAACAGCAACGTCAACCGATGGATGTGATTTTGATCAGGTGAACGTGGCCGATGGTGCATCGCGACTGGTGCTGGAGGTGGCACAGCACCTGGGAGAGAACACCGTGCGCACCATCGCCATGGAGGCCACCGAGGGGCTCACTCGTGGACAGGTATCTACGATATCTACGATATTTACTACAGTACCTTCAAGCAAGCAGAGCAGCACATCTACGAATAGAAGGATCTCACGGCAGCAAGTGCATCGACTAGAGGACCCGCCCAAAAGATGGCTTGTCGACCGAAAGACAGTGTTTTCGTTACGAGGATTTGTTGTCCGGCCGTGTATAGGAATAAGGCCTGTTGCCGTGTAGGGGGCAACGCTTGTGAACATGACCTACCTGCTCGTGGCGTTGTTGTTGCGACCACCCGAAGTTTGAAGTCCCACGTCGTGATTCCACAACAAAAAAGCTCATGTCTCTCTGTTGTTTTTGTTGTGTTACAGGGGTGCACGGACACCGGCGCGCCTATCATGGTGCCCGTGGGTCAGGAGACTCTCGGACGCATCATGAACGTGATCGGGGAGCCCGTGGACGAGAGGGGCCCAATCAACTCCAAGGCCAAGGTGAGAAGACGAAAAGAAAACGATCGAAAGAATAATGTACAGCAGTCACACCTGCTTCGCACGCGCAAGCGAAACAATGCAAGACCAGGGGCCAAGCCTGGTGTGATGCTTTCCTTTCGAAAGATGCGTATGCATATGCATCCATTCCCAGGACAAGGCACGCGCACGCTGTGTCTTGTGTCGTGCGTGTGTCTGAGCTGTCCGTCTTTGTAGGGAAGACGCGACTATTGTCAGTCGATTTGGTTGTCGCGAACCAACACAGAAAATGCCTAGAACCGCCTGGAGACCATAAAGGAAAATGTGCTGGCCTTGTTTTTGTTGCCTCTTGCCATGTAGTTGCTGCCTGCTGCGTTCGCCACATACCCGACGTGTCTCGTAATGCCGGGTTCGAATGTCCCACAACGCGCCCGTCTCTCCCGTGACCCACGTTCCATTGGCCGATAGTTGAGCTCCAAGGTAATGACCCTCTTTGGCTGTTTCTTTTGTCTACCTTGCCTGTGTCCTGTTACTGTTTTTCTCTGTCGGCTGGCCGTCTGGTTTGAGAAATGCAGGCGCCTATCCACAACTCCGCCCCCACCTTCGAGGAGCAGGGCAAGAGCCAAGAGATCCTCGTCACCGGAATCAAGGTATGTACAGCACTGTATATGCATGCTATATAGTACAGTCAGTATTACGGTGGGTTCCCTTGCAAAGTGCTGATGGAAAAATGCTCGATGTCTGGTTCACGGTACAGCAGTATCGCTGGTACACGGAGAGTATAGTTAAGTTGCTGTTTCGTGAAAGACCTGGTGCCCCTTTTATTCCATGGGCACATGAAACATCGTCATGTCCTGATGCGGCACGGGGGTTTCTCTTCCGCCTGTCTCGCTGTTTGTTTTTGTAAGTCGTTTCGCTCCTTCTCTTTCTCTCTCTCTCGCTCTCTCTCGTTCTCTCTCTCTTTCTGTGTCTTGTCTGTCCGTCTCTCCTTTTCTCTCTGACCTTTTCTCTCTCTTTTTCTCTTGACCTCTCGCTGATTCTGTCTAATTATCTCTTAATTTCTCTAATTATCTCTGTTTCTCTCTTATTATCTCTTAATTTCTCTGATTTTCGTCGCAACGAAACGTTGAAGGTGGTTGACCTCCTGGCCCCGTACGCCAAGGGCGGAAAAATCGGTCTGTTCGGCGGTGCCGGTGTCGGGAAGACCGTGGTTATCATGGAGCTCATCAACAACATCGCCACCAACCACGGTGGTTTCTCCGTGTTCGCCGGCGTGGGGGAGCGCACCCGCGAGGGTAACGACTTGTACCACGAAATGATCGAGGGTGGCGTTATCAAGGCAAGATATACGATAGTGGGCAGGAAATTCCGCGAGAAGTTCATGTTGATTTCAGGTGTTGGGTGAGGTGATGCGAGACTGGCGGTATCAAGGCAAGGGGTATAAGTATTGGTGGAAGTGGTTGTTTTTGTTTGTTCGAGGTATGTCGTGGCCTTGTTCAGACAAGAGCTTCAATAATGAGGACAGCAAGGTCTGTTTTGCTTGAGATGTTTCGTGAGGTGATCGGACGGGTTGTGCCAAGGCAAGCTTGAGGTCGAGGCGTCTTTTTGCTTACCCTAGTGTCATGAGGTTTTGTCGGCCAGCATGCTTGCTGTTTTGAAGGCCATAGGAATAATGTCTCACGAAAGGGCGGCGGGGGTTTGGAACAAGTGGGGGCACTTGATATTGTCGATGGTACTGCTGTACCAGTAGCGGTCATGATGATTCTAATCGTCTAGACAGTATCTGAAAAATAGACTGCTGACAACACGAACACTAGAACTGAACCGATACCTGGAGCCCCCTCCACCATCGAAAGAGCGCAACTGGCGTGCGAAGATTGTTGATTTTTTGACGGCGTGTTTTTGCCCGGGTGGGGAGAGGTTAAGACCAAGAGGTAAAACTACATACCCCGGTTGTATGATACCTACCTTCGCGCTGATGCATTTTATCAAACATGTTAGACTTCTGACAGCATCATGCTGAAAGCATTCCGCGTCAATGAGCTGAGCGAAGGTAGTCATCATATTTGTGTGTGTGCCTTTGTATTGTATTAGTCTTCGCTGTGGAATTCGAGCCAAGTTCGCCTCTGTTTTTTTTTTGTTTTTTTTTGTATTGCATTGTCTTGAGTCGTACGCGTAGCTATGTCTTGGATTAGCGGCTTGAGGGTTTCTAGAAAGCTCTTTTTCGCTTTTCCCTCGAGGTCTGGCGTGTTGTGTTGAACGTGCAGACACACAAGAGTACCACCGTACTTTGGACACCTGGCGTTGTAAGCCACCATCCTCGCCGCCTTTTCCGTGTTTTTGCCTTGCCCGTTCTGTTGTTGAACGTCACTTGCCGGGGGGTAGCTCCTGAGTCTGTGTCCAATTCTCTCGGTGTTGATGTTGTCAAGAGTCGCGAACCCGCGCTGACACGCATGTTCCCTTGTACAGTGTAGCGGAGTTTCGTTTATTATTCTTCCTCGTGTGCAGTGTATGCGGACACTCGACATAACGGGTGGGTGGGTCTCTGCAGTTACCCTGCCATGGCCTCTTGTCCTGTTTTGTGGGGTCGTGACTCATTCGTCTGCCTCCCCCCCCCCCCCCCCCCGCGTCCTCTCTCCCCCTCTCTCGCGGGGTCTAAATATTTTCAGATCACCGAGGACTCTACCAAGGGCTCCAAGGCCACCCTGGTGTACGGGCAGATGAACGAACCCCCGGGTGCCCGTGCCCGTGTGGCCCTGACCGGCCTCACCATCGCCGAGGTTCGTCTGGTCCCTTGCACTTTCTCTTCTTCAGATACTCTCTGAAGATCCGATCGCTGCTGCTGGTGTTGCTGGTGCTGCTGTTTTTGGTGGTGTTCGTCGCAGGCCTGAACACGCAGAATTTGTGCGTGTATCAACTCGCACCACAACGGACGCCCAAGTTTTGGTCATTTTTCGGCGCAGGCAGTACTCGCGAGACAGCCGAGGGACGGGATGCCTACTCCCTCTTAGTCGCTGGTGCTGCTGTTTTGTGGCTTGTCGCTTGTCGAACGCCTGCTGAAGACCCCACCGGTGGCGACGCGCAATATACACGTACCAACCTTCCAACCCCATTATTACACCCTTTTTTTTGTTTGGGCAGTACTTCCGGGACGCCGAGGGACAGGACGTGCTTCTTTTCGTGGACAACATCTTCCGTTTCACCCAGGCAGGAGCCGAGGTGTCGGCGTTGCTGGGACGTATCCCCTCCGCCGTGGGGTACCAGCCCACTCTCGCCACCGACATGGGTATGCTCCAGGTCAGTCGGGCGGTCGTGCTTGTGCGTGCTCAAGGGGTGGACTAGTCTGAACCGGCGAAATTGCTTGTTTTGCGCACAGGGATGGATTGGTTGAGCACAAGAAGCTGGGCATGTATTATTGGTTTGGTTACATGAGAATTTTTCCTCGAGGAGGGTGCGATGGCCAACATGGTGCTCCCACAGACTATTTACTTTGTGTCACTGTCGCGTCCAAACGATCACGTGAATTCTCAAGTGGTGGGTTTCTACGCCTATCCTCGTGTCGCCCCCTTCGCTCTTTTGCCCAACCCATACACCAACCTCACCCCAACTTTTTTTGTTTTGTTTTGTGGTCCACAATTTTTTTGTTTTTTTTCAGGAGCGCATCACATCCACGAACAAGGGATCCATCACCTCCGTACAGGCCGTTTACGTGCCTGCTGATGACCTTACCGACCCGGCGCCGGCCACGACCTTCGCTCACTTGGACGCCACCACCGTGAGTCAAGGGACCCTCCATGTGGAACACCCCCCCTCCCCCCCCCGGGCCAAGATTGACACGAAATATAGGGGGTTTAGGCGGCACGCTTGCAGCAGTCTAATGTGTAGGATTTAGTGTGTCTATAGTAAAACCGATATACTCTTATTGAATAGACTATCGTGCCGCACTCTAAAAACCATAAAATTGTCTTCATTCGTAGGCTTCGTGTCGTGATACTATTTCCGACACCATACACTAGACCTTGCGACCAAGACTGAGCGTATTCTTGGGGTGTTTGCATAATTTCTACTAGCTCTGTGTGGGATCCCGCGCGCGCGCGCTTAAAGAAGCGCCCGAAAATGTCGAAAACCCGAGGATTTTGTCAAAATGTTCCCGCCCGGGGGCATGTAAGGCCCTTCCCCCCCCCTCGGGACCAAGGTTGACACGTAGCCCAGGGGTGTTCCTACGTTTCCAGATGGAGGGCCCTTTGCTTGAGTTCATTCCTGTACCGTTAACCCCCACCCCCCCCCCACCCCCCCGTTTAAGAATGCCACATGGGGTGAATGAAACCTTTTATAGTTTTACCTTCTGTAGTGACTGGGGAAGGTAGTGTCTTGTGGAACATTTACCGTCCCGGTGAGGTGGATTGGTTGTGTCAAGCACGTTGCACGTGGTGGCGAGGGAGAGAGGATTCGCGTTGGAACCCGTCGCGAAGCATGCATGCATCCCCCGGTATGATCTTTCGGAGGGTGTGCTGTCATAAGAAAGGTGGTTCGGTGTTTTAGCCCTCCATCTCCATTCGTAAACCGGAAACTCGCGGTCTCTCAGTTTTTTGTCAGGTGTGGTGGTAGTTGGTGAGAATTGAAGAGCTCAAGGATGATAGATACGTCGGGCGGACTGTACATAGCCCCTCGCCTCCACCCCCCAGCCCGCTGCAAAGCGGGGGAAGGGGTGCGTGGGAGGGGGGCACTTGAAGACGCGACGCTGTACAAAAGACCACTGAGAGCTTTTTTTACTTCTCATACGTGCCATGTGTATCTACTCGAAGTATTTGATATATTGTGTAGCCTATATGGGGTTTGGGGGATATGGTGTCAAGGGAGAGGAGCGACCGTGAGGTATGGGTGCTGCCGGCGTTGTTTTGAGATTATGTTTCTCGCGACAGCAGTGTTACCTTCTGTCAATTGGCGTACTCAACCCTCTCTTCAATATTCAGAAACGTGTGCGTCGTTTTCGACGGGTTTCCGCTGATCGAGTCGAAAAGAATGTCGTCCTTTGACGCTGTCACTTTGATTCAGCAGAGCCATCTCCAAGCTGTCTGTTGTAAACAAAAGCACTGGGGCTCCTGTGTGTGTCGGGCGTGGCGTCGAACCGACCTTCTCGTGGGTCACAGAGAATTCGATTGGAACGGCAGCAAAAGCCCCCTGTTTGTACACGTAATCTATACTACACAGTAGCAGTGCTTCTGTTTATTCAATACTCGCTCTTCTCTGCGGCAACAGCATTTGTTGTCCTTGTGTTTTTTGTTGTTGCATGATAAACCCAGTCCTCACCCCCCCCCTCCACGCGCGTGTGCTTTTCCCGTGTCCCTCGTGGCCGATGATCGTCAACCAATCCGACAAAAAATCAACGCGATGTCATATCAGGTGCTCTCGCGTCAGATCGCCGAGCTGGGTATCTACCCGGCCGTGGACCCCCTCGACTCCACCTCTCGGATGCTTGACCCCCGCGTCATCGGCGACGAGCACTACGAGACTGCCCGTGCCACGCAGAAGCTGCTCCAGGACTACAAGGGCCTTCAGGTCCGTCCGGTCTCTTGCGTCCTTCTGCCTCTCATTGCTTGTTTTGTTTCCGCACCTTGGGGAGTGTCTTTTGGGATCTTTTTTTTTTTTCGACCTGCCACGAGTTGTGTAGGTTTTGGGTCAAGTTGTACAAGCAGTATTTTGACGGCTGATTTGAAAAGCGAGTCGGGAGAAAGAAATCGCAAGTGTCGTAGCAATCACGTGGTGGTAAAACCGACGTCAACTTTCACGGCTGTTCAACAAGCGGAATACTGCATCGTACAATCGGCATCGCACAATCGGCATGGTTTCGTTTTCTTCGCTGTGGTGCCAATCTGCAGCCTCGACCAGTCAGTTGCCGTAGCAGAAAGGATACATAACGTTAGATTGCAGATGGCTACTGTATACTACGCGAGGTATCACACCCGCACAGGATAACACACCAACCCACACAAAACCACACCAGGTGGTACATATCTCTACGGGTCAACATGAGCCCCTACCCTCTTATCAAGGACTGAGGCGACATACAACACCCAGTATACCCACACAGTAGCACGCGAAGTGATAATTTGGTAGACAGAATCCAAGATGTAGTCGCCAGGGTATGACTTGTGGTGTCGTGTACGGTAGGCTATCCGTGTTGATTACAACGTTTCTCGCTAGATCCACCCAACCCAACCCAACAACTCACAATCAAACAACCGCCTACCCACCCCCCTCCCCGTGGTTCATCACCACTCTTCACAAAAACTCACAACCAAACGACGTGCCCCCACCCCGTTGTTTGATACCACTCTTCACATGAACTCGCAATCAAACAATCGCCCCCCCCCCCACACACCCCAACCCCGTTATTCAACACCACTCTTGACAAAAACTCACAATCAAACAACCCCCCCCCCACCCGCAGGAAATCATCGCCATCCTGGGAATGGACGAGCTCTCGGAAGACGACAAGCTGACGGTGGCGAGGGCCCGCAAGGTGCAAAGGTTCATGTCGCAGCCCTTCACGGTGGCGGAGGTGTTCACCGGCACCAAGGGGGTGTTCGTGTCGCTGGAGGACACCATTAAGGGTTTCCAGGAGATCCTGTCGGGGGCGCACGACGACCTCCCCGAGGGCGCCTTCTACATGGTGAGTTCGCAGGGGGGGTGGGGGGGTGTAGTCTTATGTTCTGGATGCGTTTGCTGTAAGACCATTGACATGGCGTCGTCGAGGTGACAGGGGGCGGAAGGGGGGGGGGCGTACTCTTATGGTTTGACTCAGCGGTTAGACCATTGACCGCGCGTCCTCGAGAGGACGGAGTATTGATACCACAGGACCGATTAACGATGGCCAATCGTTCCTTCCTACTTTGCCAAAGGTGGCTCAAGAATGTCTTCCCTAGTCTATCTGTCCTACCGATCGTAGGTTCGGAGGTTAGCGTTCGGGTTTACGTAAACGCCTTCCTCTCTATTTCATAGATAACTTAATTGTTCGCGCAGGCAATTTAATTCATTTGCCGTCGGTCCCATGATGAAAGAACAGGGGTAGTTCGACGGGCACAGCGCTCCATCACCTCTCGGTTTCGGGACGCATTTTGGAGTTTCGCGGCACGTGATTTTGATCGTTCCTTGACGTGGGCGAGACCTTATATTTTGCGAGGGAGAGATGCGTTGATGGAAGGCAACCTGCGAAAGTTGCGATCTCGGGCCACCTGATGTGATGTTGTCGCTGTTGTTGTGGATTGTGTTATGGTTTTAGTTTTTGTTGTCTTCACGTTGACAGTCGTCGTTCGAAACCTCTCTCCACCACTGCTTGTTCCCTTCCTTTGTAGACAAAGAAACGAATGCACTTTCAAGGCTGTTGGGACACAAGCAGCATATCGATGCGTCAGCGCAGCGCATCGTCCATCTCGTGTATGACAAGCGAGGCGTGGTGATTTCCTCGCCTTGTTGTTCTTGCGCGTCATCACACCTGCGTCGTCGCCTGTCTTGGTTGCCACGACTGCTGCAGGTGGGAGACATCGCTTCTGTCGGCGTCAAGGCCAAGCAACTCGCGGAGAGCGCCAACTAAGGCTAGGGCTGCCTTTTGGTCGGTGGTTGGAAGAGCTTGCTACACGAAGTCTGAGAAGCGTTTTGGAGGGGGCTTCAGCGCCGCTCGTTTCACCAATTCGCTTGTCGCGTGTTGAGGAAGGGTCGTCTTTCGCAGCCGCTCTTGTGGTTTGGTTGCCCTTTGGCAACGACTTGATGGACGTCGGGCGAGAGAGTGGGTTGCAGCATTGTACCGATGGGTATAGTAGCTCTTTTGGCTGATGGGTTTTGTCGGGCAGCACGTGTCGAATCATGTTTTTTTGTCATGGTTTCGCGCGTGTTGGAATAGTAATAGTCGGTTGCCCTTTTTGTCGAAGGACGGAGGGTGCGATGCACGTGGTTGGCGTGGAGGTAGGAGGCGGGATGGCACGAGGATGAGAAAGCGGATAAGATGGAAGAAATCGAACTGGCGATGCTGTGGCATGATGTGGCTATCCAAATCTTCGCACACATGGGATCAAGCGGTACTCACTCAATATACCCAATACCAGTATACGGGAGTACAATCGGCATTTGCAACTGCTTTCTCAGCGGCAGCAGCAGCAGCGATAACATTTCATCGAGCACTCAAAACGGAGCTTAGCGTGTTCACCGTCCGGTCGAGGTGTTGGTATTGGGATTCGACGCCAACTCCGACGCGTGTTTGCGTTTGTTCCCATCTTTTCTTGACAACGAGCGAGGTGATAATCGCTTAGAATGTCTACTGCTGTAATGATGGTGGCTCCTAATGGATCGGAATGGAGGACGCGTCCATCGTGCCTGCAGCGCAAGGATCATGTCGTTGTTCCCGCGTCTCCGCCTGGCCGAGGCCTGCGTGACAAATCAGAACCCGCCACAGCGAGCAATGTTTTCGTTCGTTCCTGACTGGACCATGTTCCACGGAAGTAAGTGCCTTTCGCTGGGACTGCTGTGTGGGTACAAATAAATCTGGAATTTTCTACACAACGGAGGGAGGGGTGGTATCTGCCAGGAAGTGGAACGGGTAGGGGCAACTCGATTAAATCTGCAGCACGGCTGGCTGTGCGAGGTCGACAATCCTCTCTTGTTTGCTCGACGTTATGTCGCTGGCGGTGCACACGACAGACTTAGTTACTCCCAACCAAGTTGTCCTTATTGTACAAACACTATTTCCCCCCAACAACGAGATCAGGTTACTTTCAATCTTTCAGCTGTTGAGCTGCACGGAGACGGACAAACTCCCAAAGCGATTGATGTTCGGGAAAATCGTGAGGGGGGGAGGGATCCAGGCGGCATGGAGAGCCCGGAATAGAACGCAAAGGCGCAAGTAGTGTGATGATGCCCGTGAAGCCTCCAAGGGTTCGGTGCGACAAGCCTAATTCACGGACGATGACAAGAAGAGGATGCTCGGGATGTACCTCATTCCCGTTGAGTCTTACGCAGCGAAGGTGGAGGAGGGGGGGTGCCCCGGCACGCGGCGAAGGGTGCTACAGCAGGGACATGTTGAAAATATATATCCAGTTCTTCTGTGGACCTGGTTCATGTATGTATGTATGTGTACGTAGAAGAGTTGGGTGTTTTTGTCAACCTAAAGCAGACACCCTGACATCTCTTCGTCGACGCCATTGTGAAAAGAGGGAATCATAATCGTCCTCGACAGATGTTGGGGACATTGTATGCATACATACCTTTATGAACGCACGTACTTGATCTCCACTATTTATAATGGCTCCACCACCAGTTTGTTGTTCAAAATCAAGATTTTTTTTCCAGATACGATATATAATAGATGCATGCGCCGTCCACGTTCTCGAGTTCTCGAGGAAGCTTCGACATATATCGTTCCGCCGTTCGCCGTTCGCAAAACGCAACATTACAATCCCTTTATCGAGGGTGGATGTTTCGGAACGCGCCTTCGCCTCCCTTTCACCACCTTCCATGGATTGCTGCTGGACGCTGCACAATATTCAAATTTCAAACAGGATAATTTCCATCATCTAGCTTTATCTGGAGATTGAAACATACCGTATATGACACAAGATAACACACCCCCTTGACCGATTTTCAAAGATCGATTTCTCAACAGCAGGAAGACTCACAGCGCCGAAAACGGCGGCGTTGGAACCGTCGCGTTGGGAGCTTTTCGAAAATGTATAATTTCGTTTATGTATCCTCTTCGTCATCGAGTAATCGATCTTTGAAAATCGGGCCAGGGGGTGTGTTATCTTGTGTCATATACGGTATTCGTCATGATGTCACATCTCAAGGCATGTACAACCACATCAATCTATGGGTAGCGGGGGCAATAACTCAGCCTATACTAGGTGCATCGTTTCCACCTCCAGATAGGGCAGAGCAGATGGCCGCCGTCGGACCGAGTGTGGACAAGTAAGTGTCGAACAGGATCAAAGAGTGAAATCCGCCGTCCCCCCCTCCGGCATACCGCCCGGAAGGCGTTATTGTGTAATACGGGGATGGTGCAAAAATATCCCCGCTTGGGGCGACGAGGCTCTCTCTCTCTCTGTGGGGACCTTTTTTCTCACAAAAACGAGCGCTCCAAGCAGCACTCCGTGAGTGCCGAAGTGTTACTTGCCGCGCACGATCGCGGGGGGGGGGGGGGATAACTCGCAGGCAGTCGACGCTACACCCTGATGCTTTTGTTTCAGGGCTGTTCAGGGATACAAGAGAGCAGCAGCAGCGACCAGGCTATAATATACCTCTAGCAGCAAAATCGGAGGAGCGCGGCGGCGATTTTAGGGCTCAACCCTCTGGTTGAACGTTAAGAGAGGCGGGGCTGGTGGACAGAGCGAGAAGGTGAGAAGTGTGGCCTTCCCTACCCAGGCCTCCGGGATTTTTTCGGTGTGGCGTGATCATCGTGTGACCAGTGTCGAGGTTAGGGATCGGGAGAGCCGGGCAGGCACGCTGCGGCCGCCATCTCGGGGGCAGCAGACGAGATGACAGACAACGACAGACTCTGCACCCCCCTAAAAAGACAAAAAGACGGCTACTAGAACAAGAGGCACCGCGTGGCGAGACCAGATCGATGGCATCCAACACATGCTGTTGCCTTACGACAGAATACGCTGGCTCGCTCCAGTCTGCTCTTCCGACTTTTTTTTTGCTGCCACCACACAAGAGTCCTGCTCTGCTTGCACACGGCGGTCCTCGCGTTGGAACGTCGCCGGAGCAGGGGGGTGGAGTGATGAGATATGTAGATATATCGCCGGTGTTTTTTTTTTGCTGGTGCCCGGCGACGTCGCGGCCTCTCTTGTTGTTGTTGGCTTGAAGGCCAAGAGACTATTACAAGACCAAGAGACAGACAGAGAGGTGCCACCCCCTACGATTTCACAAGACGCTCAAAAAGCAGGTCGTGGGACAGCAGTCTTCATCGCGGGCCAGTCGAGCTTGTCTGTCTTGTTCGCAAGAGCGATGACGTGTGCTCGTGTCTCTCCCGTACGGCACCACAGCAGCCCCTCAAAAACGGGAGCGGGCGACGGCAGCAGACACACACACCACGCTGCTGTTTTTTTCATGGATTATTTTCCAACCATTGTTGCGGGGAATAACGGGGGCTCCCAAACAACAGCAAACACCCGCTTTTCTTGTAGTAAATGTGCACCCCTCGACCGAGAGTCTCCCCGATTTACATACTAACTCCGTATGACCCCTTTCCTCTCTTCCAGCTGGGGCGACGTTGCTGCTTTAAGCTATTGGTGGTATGTATGTACCACATGAACGTGTTGAACGATGAGCGCGGGTTGGTGCATGTGTGTAAGTTTTGTTTGCCAATGATGTTGCGTGGTTTGGTTTGGGTCGATGTTGTCGTCGTGGAGGCCTTTTGGGCGTAGACGCGCCCCCCATCTGCTGCTGCGTGTTTCCCATTTTGCCACTGGCACCGCGCCGCGCCGCCGCAGCCACTTCTGTGTTCTCTATTCAACGCCAACATCGTCAAAAAAGTGGATAGTTATATTGTACGCGCTCATGTTTTTTCCAGTGTATGAAGACACAGCACAGCAGCAGACAGCCGTATGAGAGAGAAACGCTAGGAAGGCTCTCGGAAGATACAGCGCCGATAGGTGTGGTGTGGTGCGTTGGTGGGAGTTTAGGAAGAGGAGGCGCGGGGGGGTACACGCGCTTCAGCTCTCGGTCTTCACGAAGTTTTATCCGAAATGGGTTTTCGTACCACAGCAGTCCGTGGGTATGACGTTATGTGTCTTCTGTTTCCCAAACCTTGCATGTGGAGAACCTTCTTGGTAGTCCATGGTGGCCATATGAGAAGAGCTGCGCACCTCATGACAGCAGTGGACATTCCTAATACTTCAGTAGTACACGTGCAACGGGCAACGAACGCCCTACAGTACCAACCGCTCACACTCGATGTAGTTTTGCGGTCTCTCTCCACCGCTATTGAACGGCCGGGTGTATGCATCCGTTTGTGTACTTTGAAATGTGCATCTATATCTTCGCGCAAGGTATTGATCTTGAAAGGGTGCTGAGCTGGCACGGTTTGTAACGCGAGACAACAACAACTAACAGCAACAGCAACGGTACCATACATCCGTACACCCGAAGTGTCCCCCCTGGCGGTATTGTAGACATCGCGAGGGCTGTGTAGCTCTTCCGGTTATCCCCGCTAGCTACCAGCAGAGCAGTGTCCCGCGTATTTTGTTCATTGCCCTGCACACACAGAAGACGTGTGCCGCACACAACCCACGTGGAAGACGCTATCTAGACTTTGTCCGATGTCTGATGTACACGTTTGTAAGTGGAAGCACCAGATGGTGGCAACGCCGTTTCGTCATGTGAACCTTTCGCCCGTTCCGGTATTTTTGTGCCTTCGCTCGCAGTGTACCGTAACAATGGCCAGCTGACCTTCGCGGGGGGTTTAGTATCACGATGTGGCGTATGCTGTAGTGCTCACGTGAGTGTTGGCGAGCGCACCCATTACAAGTCGCATGTTGACCGATGGCCTTTCCTGCCCGACAGCGATTTCTTGGTGGAGATATATTTACATGACCGAGAAGCAGCAGGTGCCTCACTTTTCACATCGAAGGACTTTGGTAGGGGATATTTAGGTCTGACCGGACGTTGAACCTAGGCTCCTCAAATGGGATCCGTCACCCACAGTGGCCGAGCCAACCCAACCCCACCCAACCCCCAACCCTCATCGAAGGCCAATCCCCGCCTTTGGACACTCCTTCAAACCCTAACCGCGGCGGTTAAAGAGTCGGCAGCCAATAATTACCACGACTGGTTCTGCTTGGAGGAAAGCTTGAGCACTAGTCACCCAAAGAATTTGTCAATCGCTCTTAAACCACTTTTTTTGTTGTTGATAGCAAGAGCCTCACGCAAACCCCGTTGTCTAATCGCCTTATTCAACCCCCCTACTGGATTTCCACACCGCTGTTGGCCAGGCGTTTCGCGCTGCAGGATTCAGCCTACGAGCTTGTCGTGAGCGACAGAGTAGGGGCGGACGAGGACAGGGGGCCCGGGGAAGGGGAGGGGGTGTGGGGGTTCTTTGTTCTCTTTAACCATGGATTCGCAGCTGGATGTGGAGAAGCTCTTTGCGGAGAACCAGGAGCGAGAGCAGGAATTGCGGAATCTCCTCAAGACGAGGCCTTCCGAGTCAAGAGATGTGAGCTCTTGAGCATTGCTGAAGCTCGCTGCTGGCATTGGTTAGTCTCCGCTCCGATGGTGCACGCCGAGTACGCCGCCGCCGAGTGCCGTGCGGCAGCGGTAGAAGTTATCGTGCGGATTTCTGGTCTAGAAGTGGGGGTTGGTCGAGTGAAAGCGCACGCCGAATACCGAGCAGCAGCGGTGGAAGTTTCTTGTGGATTTGCAGTCCAGGCCGTGAGTCAGGTCGAGTCGATATGTGTTAGCTCCGGGCCCGGAGCTTGGTGTTTGGCTGCGATTGCTGCCTGTCGTATGTGTGCCATGAGAGAGGGGCACCTGTACCGAGTTAACACAACGGAAACCACGAGTGGCGGCAAGGCAGCCACTCACCACAGACAGCAGCTGACCGAGTAGACCGACCTACAGAGATGGTAGTTGATAGATCTACGGAGATTGAAGGGTGCATGTACAGATTACTCGCGCGTTGGTACAGAGCTTGGGGTCAGGGCGGGGTAGGCAAAGCCAGCAGCAGCCGCAGCATCAACAGCAGCAAAAGGGAGAAGTGTAGAGTGTGTGCGTTCACGTCTCGCATGTTGCAGGTTTAGGACACATTCCGATGAATGTCACGGGCTAATATCTTATCACCGATAGCGCACTCCATACGTGGCGCTACAGCAGTCGCCCGTGCATGGGCGTCGATCTTCTTTGCTAACGTCGAGTCCTCCCCCTTCGGCTTTTTTGCCCTCCCCCCTCTGTCTTGTGTGTGTGTGTGTGTGTCTCTCTCTCTCTCTCTCTCTCTCTCTCTCTCTCTCTCTCTCTCTCTCTTTCTCTCTCTGTCTCCTTTCTGTCTCTTTGTGTCTCTCTGTGGTCTGTCTCTCTGTCTGTCTCTCCGTCTCTCTCTCTCTCTCTCTCTCTTCTCTCTCTCTCTCTCTCTCTATTTGTCTCTCTTTGTTGGGACTGATTGGAAACGACCGGCTACCTACCGGGGCCCATCAGGTCCAAGCCTTGCGGGCGGAGATGAGGGGGGCGTACAGCGAGATCCTGGGGATGGACCCCGAGTTCTGCGCCGCCAAAGACGTGGAGCTCTTGTTGTGGAAGAACTGCTACTACAAGAGAATAGAGGCGAGCACCGAAAAATATATTCTATTCGGCGGGATTTTATTTTTTTCCGCAGTGTACCGTACGTCTTTTCTCTCCGCGTTCAGCCCTGTCCTTGGGGGCACCGCATGGGGGTACGTGAGACATAGGCTTCGTTCCTTTTTCTTTGGGG